CTGGATACGCGCGACGCAACTCACCTGGTACGGACGGGAGCTGGGCCTCATCACCGCAGGCCGGCCCGTCCAGCGCGGTAGCACGCTGGCCAACCTAAACCCGTTCTTGGATGAGGCAGGGATTCTGCGAGTCGGGGGGCGGCTCAAGCACTCTGTGCTCAGCCTCGACGAGAAGCACCCCATGATCCTGCCGAAAGCATCCCACCTCACGAGGCTGGTGGTGGACGCCTGTCACCGCCGAACCATGCACGGAGGGGTGCAGCTGACTTTGGGCTGCCTCAGACAACGCTATTGGGTGCCGGGCGGACGAGCCGTGGTGAAGCGACTCATCCACCGCTGCCTGCCGTGCGTGCGATGGCGGGCGGCGACTCTTCAGCCGGCCATGGGAAACCTGCCTCACCCCAGGGTCAGGCCAGCCAGACCATTCGCCCACACTGGAGTGGACTACGCGGGCCCGATCATGCTACGCACTAGCAAGGGACGGGGCCAGCGGGCGTACAAGGCCTTCATCGCCCTCTTTGTGTGCCTTAGCACGAAGGCACTACACCTGGAGGTGGTCTCGGACTACACGGCCGAGGCCTTCCTAGCCGCCTTCAAGTGCTTTGCCTCCCGCCGGGGACTTTGCTGCACCCTGTACAGCGACAGGGGCACTAATTTTGTAGGTGCGGATGCGGAGTTACGGGCGCTGTTCCGAGCGGCGAGCACCGATGATGGTCAAATCTGGCGCGCACTTGCCGACCAGAACGTAGAGTGGAAGTTCAATCCACCGGCAGCCCCCCACTTCGGAGGCTTGTGGGAGGCCGCCGTCAAATCTGTCAAGCATCACCTCCGCAGGGTCATCGGGGACAAAACTCTCACCTTCGAAGAGATGACCACCTTCTTGTCGCAGGTCGAGGCCATCTTAAATTCGAGGCCACTGTGCGCCTTGTCAGACGACCCGGAAGATACGGCAGCGCTCACCCCTGGGCACTTCCTCATAGGCGGGGCGTTCACCGCAATGCCCGAGCCGTCACTCGCCGAGGAACCCGTGAACAGGCTTTCGAGATGGCAGGAGGTGCAGCAGATGCGTGACCACTTCTGGGCGCGATGGTCACGCGAGTACCTTCCAACCATCGCCGCCAGAACGAAATGGCTGCGACCAACTGCCAATCCCGACGTTGGAGACCTGTGCCTCATCCGAGGGGAAGCGACCCCTCCGAGTAAATGGCCACTCGCCCGCATAACGGAGGTGCACGCGGGAGAGGACGGACAGGTTCGCGTGGTCTCCCTAAAAACCGCGACAACCTGTCTCCAAAGGCCCGTCGTGAAGCTGGTACTGCTACCACGGATCGACGGCGAGTAACGCGGGTCAACGTTACACAAGCATTGCAACATGTTTCGAGCCGCTGGTCGCGACCTCAACGTCACGGGAATTCGCTATCGCACAATTCGCTCTTCAACACTCGCGTGCCGGTGCATCACGCGCTAACATTGCAAACGCTGAGGATGGCGAGGCACGTGACCGCGCGCAGCGCGCCCGAGCGCCTCGCCGCGGCACGAATTTCGTCAGCCGCAGCTGACGAGGCGGGCGGCATGTTCGAAACCAGCTTAAAATTTAGCGCAACACGCAGGTAGCGGCTGATATCTCGCTTCGGAACTTGCCACACGGCATGATCGATGGTCAAACGACCGACAAGTGACTTTATTTGTCTCCCCTTTTTTTAATTTGCGAAAACAACTTGTTTGTCACTTGCTCGGACAGATGTGCCGAGGCGAGATTTCGGCCGTACTGAGAGGGGAAGGGGCAGCGAGCCGACGCACAGTGGTTCGAAACACGAAATTCGCGCTCAAAAATATTTTTTATTAATAAATCAACATAATACTATTT